CATCGTGCTGGTGGAGCTGGTGCATCTGCCTTTGTAGGCAGAGCTTATAGGCATGAAATGCCATGGCAAGTGGTGGGTCAGATCTCTGAGATGTTTGGAGGCAGTAAGTAGAGTTTGGCATTTTTACCTGTTTTATTAATTAATAATGCATGTTAGGTCCATAACACATTTTTTTAGGAATTTGGGTCARATTCAGCAATAACTTTGCCTGAGAAATAAGATGGACCTTGGTGGTAGTTTTTCTTTCTTCCCATTTCTATTGATGAGGAGACTGTCACCCTGGGCTTCAGCCTCCTCCTGCTGTCCACCCCAAGAGGGCAACTTCTCATCATCCTGCCAGGGCAAAAGAAGTTGGACGTCTCCTCTTTCACTGTGACTTAATCTGATGTAAATCATTGCCATGGCCATTRTCCACAGACTGAAACCCAGGTGTGTCTCCACCAAATTGCTGGCCTATCAGGCTGGAGAGTCATTCCATTAAACACCTGATCTTTGCCTCTTGACTGCTGCATATGTTTTCACTAAGTAATTACAGGCAAAATAGTCACAACAGGAGAGTTTATGAACATCTTATGTCAGGTGACCTCAGACTGGAGTCTGAGGGAGCTTTTCCAGTAAAAGACAGACTTTGGCTCAAATCGCTGTATGTAGCAGCAGAGTGTGGTCTCGACCTCAGTGAATGCCTTTCCCTTTGAGCACAGGGTCAAACAAGAATAGCTGCCACATCTTGTTCCTCTGCTTTGTAATGCTGGTCTTTCTTCCTCTGCCTTTACAACACGTTGCTCAGATCATGTATTTTCCTGATCTGAAACCAAGTTTTTCAGGATTTMATTTCTGAAGGTTGATAGGAAACTTTTCTTTCTAGTTCTGTTGCTGAACTAAAAAAAGAGAAAAAAATCGATGATTCCTACAGCCCCGATGGTGTGAACTGCAGTTCACACTGCAGAGAGCGATATTAGCAGTCTAGGGAGACCTGAAACAAAAGCAGCAGCTTAGAAGAGAAAGAAACTCAAAAGGACCAGAGCCACCTGCCATAGAGACAAATATTGGAATCTATTGACTGTAGGGATTCAGCAGAGATATTGTCCTTAACATCTTAGATGAGTTCACTATCTAAACAGTAAACGTACACCTCAGAAGCAAAAAAAAAAAAAAAAAAAAATCTTTTAAATATGTATTAAATGTATGTTCTTACATTAACGGACATAATGCAGTGGTTTTTTTCTATGGCTTCATAGTTTAAATCAGTTTGGTAGGTTTGGGTGATGGAAATTCCTGCATCCCTGTTTTACATGACTTCGATATCATCCCTGTGGCGACTGTTATTTGCAAGTGGATAGGCTCCCTGGTTCTCCTGCCCATCCCTTTTCCCGCTAGCAAATGAGAAGGAGAAAAATGGAGGTAGGTCTGGCTTAAGAGTGCAGGTCTCCCTCCAACAAAGCTTTTAGGCATGTGATTAATCCATCCTCATTTAGAGAAGTGCTGAAGCAGCAAACTTTTGCTGTGGACACCCCAGGAGCATCACTCCAGCTAAGTCACTTTGTTAAGTGCTTTGCTGAGCACAGATGGGCAGTGGGAATGGGAAGGGCACTGGGCAGCTTCGGCAGCACCGAGGGCACAGCACCCACCTCTGGAGTCCATACGTGAGGAGCACGTTGTGAAAGCCAAGTCTTAACAAAAGCATCTTTGGTGAAATTGCCTGRCTTCTTTGGTGATTTCCATCAGCTCTTTGTGAGTTCTTCAAAGTTCTCATTGCTGACCCCAGAGCACCATCCAGCTCTCACTGGTGTCCTTCACCACCTTGCACATTCATAGCCAGCATCTGCCCTCAAGCCCGGGGATGGGGAAGGAGACGTGACTTGGGGCAAAATGTTCAGCCCCCAGGCCTCGACTCCCAGGTCCTTCCTCTACACAACTGCTTCGGGAAAAGCTCTTCTTTAGGAGATGTGCTCCCAAAAAAGTGCCAAAGATCACGTTGTCCAAGAGAAAGGCATGAATTGCTATCATATAAAATAATYGACTTGTGCAGCTTGACGTGCAGCAGAAACTTTGTGGATATGGTCGTATGATCAAAATATCCTTCTGTATCCATCCAACAGCTCCAGCCTCCACAGAGGCGTGTAGAGCTGCAAGGACTGACCTGTGATGTTTAATTAAAAACAACAAAATCCCAACATCATAAAGATCGTTTCCATTAGCAATCTGACATAATTTCTTATGTCTTGTTGCAAGACATTGGTGGCTTTAACACACTGGAGTCCTTCCTTTCTCCTCAAAAATAGAACTACTTAAGATAAACAAATATTTTCTATGCTAAATATTCTTAACCTAGAGCTTTCTCCCTATTCTTTTATAAATTCCTTGAGATTACAGAGGCTGAGCTGTCTTAAGAGGGATGAATTGCATATGATCCTGGAAAACAGCCATTGCTTTAGTTATTCTTCCTTTTGGTTGTGCTGGGATTTTAGTAAATAATCTGCATGTTTAATCAATGGAGACTAATTACAAAGACACATCACGGCATGTTTTGCTGTTGTTTTAAAGCCTGTTTGTTGCCACAGGCAGGGTGGCCTCATTATTTCTAGATGTAAATTATTATCTATGATAYATGTAATGTAGATTTTTACTGTAACCCTTAAAAAAAAAAGCCTAAAAGCATATTTTGTCACTGGATGCAAACAACAAAATGCAAATTTACAACAATGTAACSAAATGTGTAATTTACCCATGTGTATGACATTTCAGATGAAAGGGATTATAACAAACTTGATTACTTCTTCTCGCCAGTCCTAAATTCAAGGATCCCAAAGGATAGGAGATTCTGCTTAAAATAGCTCCAGAACAAGACTGCTTTGTACAGCTAAACAACAGCAGCCACGCGCTGTCCTTGGTTACCCCACTATAAATATAGACTCCTTTTAGTAACTCTGATAGCTTTTTTCCCTAAATTCATGGAGGCAGTAAAACAGTCACTGCTGTCCAAGCAGGCTGGTAAGAAAGCAAGAGGATCCAAGCCTATAAACCCATGCCCACAGGACTGGAGCTTCCCAGAGCTTCTCCAGGACGTGTGGGGCAAGATCATCAGTYCCAGAGCAGGAGGAGCAGAGATGTCCCCAGCACTATGTGGCAATGCCAAAGTGTCCTCGGTGGCAGCCCCTGCTGCCCACCTGCAAGAAAAGGGAGTCTTGTGTCCAGAGAAAGCTGGAGGATGCTTTTCCAGGGCAATTCCCCATACTCCCAAGCTGGTGCAATGGCACAAATCCCACACAAACCAGCAGTGGTTCCCCTTGGCCGGGCGCAAGACCGTCCGCACGCGCCTCTGAGCGCCGAGTCTCACGGTGCAGAACCAGCAAGATAAAATAGGGCAAAATCCTGTCAGTGACACTTTTTTGATGAATTATTTCACCTGAGGTTTTCCAGCATTATAAACGACATYGCTGCTTTGCTTGGCGCCTCCGTGCCCAGCCAACCTTCATGCAACCTGCAGCACCACGGGCTGCTCCATGACTCACTGCCTAAATAATAGCAGGAGACGAGGCAATTCCCTGGTTTAGGACAGACCAAGACACAGCTTCCAAGAAGGACAGAAACCCAGTGCAGTCTCTAAAAATAAATAAATAAAAGATAATTCTTCTTGCTTGCTGTGAACCTTGAGAAAAGTTAATAAGTTAATATGTTGATTTTTTTCATCAGAGACATAACTGTCATTTAATCAATGCATTTAGACACCTTCAGCTACTGTGACTAATCTCTTGGGTGTATTTTAGCGTTCTCTACGTTACTCTCAGAAAATGATACTCTGCTGTTGTTTTTGCTGTTTGTGGTTTATATCTCCAATCTACTTTTAAACTCTTCTCAAAAGAGTTTTTAAAGTGATAGTGGAACCATTGATCTATATTCATAGTTAAGAAATTACTGCTTTAAGAATAGTCTTTCAAATTCTGTCTATTTTGGCATCTCTTCCCAAGATGCTCTTGAATAGAAGCAGTTTGTGACGATTGATTGCTCTGCTTGTCATTCCTCAGGGAGAGCTGCTTTTATTTCCTTCATCCTTGTTACAGATTGTTAGCTGTTCAACAGCACTGTACATAGATGTGCAAATGCACCTCTTTTCCTGATACAAATCCTTCAGCTCTAGGTAATTTTTGATATCTTTCCTCATCAGGCACAAAAATTTTATGCACTTACGCAAAGCATTGCAAATTCACAAGAAAAATGTCTGAAGAGGCAACTGAAAATAGATGCAGTCATTTGAGTGATGAAGGATCTTCAGCCCAACAGGCTCCCTAAGGGCTTCAGGAGTGCAGGATAGCACAGGACTGGGCTTGCACATGTGCTTAACTGCAAGTACAAGCCATGGGTTGGTTTTAGGATCCGATCCATTAGGACATTTTGTACAAATAAGGATTTGGAGGTTGGATCTTTCAAATAGTGCTTGCAGTTTTGCGAGTATCATAAAAAATAATAACCATCAAAATCCACATTTATTATTACTATAATTTCTCACCTAGAAGAAAGACTCCCATAGGCTTGTGTGTGGTTTTATCTTTGATCTAACTGATTATTCCTATTTGTGATTTTTTTTTAAAAAAACATCTTTCTTCAACTATTTTTGAAGTAACCAGGCTATCATGGCGTTTCCAATTGGCCACAGGTGGAAAAATATTACCAAGAGTTTGGGTTCTGTCATGCTCAGGAAAAAATGCARTAAGGTACAATAAATCTTGGGACTGCTTTGCTTTTTACACATGTGTGTTTATGTTCTGTCACTATTTCTCCTCTTTTAATCCTAGTTTCTCCATCTACCTCTTTAAAACCCCATCAAACCACTCACTTGGCTTTCCAAGCTTACCTATGGGAAAAACGGAGGAACAAACCTGGGCAATTCWCACTCTCCTCTCCATAGCAAATGATGAGATTGTTTAAAGATGATACTACAATGTGCACGATCTCACTTGATTATACTTTAACTATTCTGTTTTTCCCTCCCTACCTCGCAGATGATGGAAATGCTTAAGACAAATTAAGGTAGTATGACACAGACTAATGTAAGTGTGAGCATGGCATCCAGGGGACAAGCTGTGAAATGTTTGCGYGCTTCTGCCAAAATACCTTGCATGGCTTTCTGCTCTTGTCTCGTGTTTCTGATGCCAGGCAGCATGTTGAGCAACATGTAAGCGTTTCGTCTGATAGCTATACCCCAGCTTTGGTCTTGTATACTCTTAATAAATCTCCCTTTTTAATAGCTGCTGCTAGTAGCAAATCTGCGAGCTGCATATGCTGTTCTTAAGTCATGCTCAGTGAAGCCCCCAAGGACCAGTTCCCCGTTGGGTTTGGTGGTTTAGGAACCCGCTGTGATGTGCTGGAGTTGCAGCTCATGTGAGCGGAGCCCGTTTCTCCTCCCTTCTGTGCCTGCCTCTGAGCAGCAGCTGCTCCTGCGCTGCCTTTTCTCGAATCCGAGCCTTGYCCCAGTGCAGCTGGCTGCTACCTGCATCCCCGCTGCCTACATCTCTGCCTTTGCRATGCGAATGCTTTGTCACCTATTGTGAAACATTTTACTGAATGTGACAGGTGCCGTATAGGAATGAAGAATATTGTGTTTTCGCAGTACTCTGTTACAGAGATTACCATRGACAAATATAATATTTGCCTGTGTCTATATATTTCTTTTAATTTGAGTGTGTATAACGCTTACAAAGATGAGGACAACCATAGTGGCCTGAAAGATACTGATGCCCACGGGTATCCTGGTGCTGCCTGTTACTGAGCAGCAGAACTCAGCTGCTTCTCTTCTCCCACCACAGCTGCTCATGTTTAAGAGCACTGTGATTTTTTTATCAGAGTGATGGTACAGGTTGCCCTATGGTTTGGCATAATAACCATCTTTGAAGATATTCAAAACTTGAATCGGAAAAGCCCTGAGCAAACAACCCCAACTAGACCTGCCTCAAGCAGGGGTATGGACAAGGTGACCTCCAGAGGTTTCTTCCTACCTACATTTTTCAATGACTCTGCAATTTAATGACTCTGCATAGACGGAGAGTGGAGTGAAGTGGCTCTAATACTTTTCGCTGTGCCTTGAGCTATCATTTGAAACCAGATCATCAGAGGCGACATGTCAGTGCACTGGTCACTGTTGCACATTTGAGRATAATAAAATGGAGATAATAAAATGCAGTTTATTTCTCTCAGCATATCCAGTTCAGCCATTCRCAGCTGGGCTGTGTGTACAGGTGTTGGTTGCATTTTCTTATCATGCCACAAAAATATAATTTCGAACCATTGTACTCATTGTGCGCAGTATGTGTGGAATTACAGAAGATGTTGTCTGAGAACAGAATGATTTATCAGAAACATATCTACCTTTTGAATTATTGGAGCTGTAACAACTGGCACTGACAGCTGTCTCTGTGATGTKTTTATACCTCTTCTCAATTTTCCCACATAAGATCCCTAGCTCAGTTCCTTAAGACACTAATGATTAGAACTGTCAGAGCTAGAGAAAATCCACCTGGTGAGCAAGGTCACCTTTCCTATTCCCAGTCACAAAGGAAAACACCAGGCTAACAAGGCTGAGGAAGCCCTAATTAACACCAACAGAGACCTAAAAGCTAGAGAAAACTAGGCCAGGCAAAATGCAACACCACAAAGGTAAGATTATTTTATGAAACCATTGCAAAAGGAGTCTGGAAACCRTGGTTTCAAATAGGAATAATGTTGGGGATGGGCTACAGAGGAGAGAGGGAATCAATAGCCTTGGCTTTGAGCTCCTTGGTGTGTTYCCATGAGCAGATCCCTGACACATGGCAGGCCAAACAGGTAGGAGCTCTTTAGGTGGTTGTTATTAAGAGGGCACCAAAACAACAACTTTTTCTCCTATTAATACCTGAGGAAATTTATAATGCTGCTTTCTGAGCTTGGCTCCTCCTGATCTGCTACACACATGCTGAGACAGACTGTCCAGCAACTCATCACCTCCTCTCCTCCTCAGTAGGAGGAGAGCATCCAACCAAGTTGGTTGCATCCAACCAAGTAAAACTAAATAAGATGATTTTCAGGGTAAATGGGTATCAGCATTTTCTCTGTCTGACTCTATTCCCCTTTGAAGATCCTAAATTTGCTATTTGAGCATTTCTATGCCACGATGCCACTGTGACAAGATACAGCTCAGCCTCCCAAAGCACCCAATTAAGTACTTTTGCTCCAAAATTCTTTCCCTAATCTGCTCTGAGTCTAAAGTTCAAAATCCTTGAATTGTGTCAACCCTCCTGGTAGCCACGTCCCTCTTCTCTACTCTTTCACCCCCAATTAGAGGGTTGTTGCAAACAACCATCTCTCACACACCAGTATTTGGGAGAGAATTGCTGATCCATGCAAGGTTGCAGCCTATTCATGTGTATAATTTGAGTATTTCTTGCTGATCTTGTTACTCAGCCATCTTTGAGTTCTGTGATCTGCAGTTCTGATACATCAGTTGTAAAAAGGCCTCTTAGTTGATTTCCCTTTTATGACAAGAATGTCTCCAACTCRGTTCTCTTATTTTATGAGTGAGAGGGAGTGGCTGATAAATGAGAATGACTTTTTTGCTTTTCAGCACCTTCATGTGATTAATAGAACATGAAACCATACTTTAAATTCTAGTGAGAAGGATTCAAATCAGATATTGCAAACAAAAATCCCACGACCTTTTCAGAAGTAGGGAGAATTGCTGACTCTCCTTGGGCACTGTAAAATTCCATCTTGGAGATCCTTAAGGGCAGGTTAGCCAAGCACGTCAGAAATGACTTTGGTATAATTATCCTGCCTTGGGACAAGGAGTGGTCTGCATGACCTCCTGAAGTCCTTTCCTGCTGTATTTCTGCGTGATTCTGTTATTTCAAATGATTATAACAAGCTCAGGCACAAAATGCAATCGCCAGTCTAAATGGCTCACGCATTAGACTGACACCAGGACAAATTCATAAGAGAGAAAAACCTGAAGGACCGATGCAGGCTGTTGAATGTCACAGCCTCTCACAGCCTCCACAGCCTGGGTRGGAGCCCTGCTTATATTGGTTAGTGTTACAAAGACCAATACCAAGCAGTCAGCCAACTTAAGTAGTGTTTGCAGAACCAGTCACGTAAAAAAACCGTTGTGCTGTGTCCTTTAGTAAGGCCATTCATTTCTTAATTAATTGTTATTCGGTCTTCTCAAGAACAAAGGGTAAACTACCCTAATGCAGTCCCAGGCCATAAAACCCTGTGCTAAAATAGCTTACTGTGACCAGTATATCTTTTTTGGGGTGATTTCAGACAAGTATCGTGAGTGAATTATCCCCAGTCCTACCGAATCACGCTCACATGGCTTCATCTGCAAGCCTGTTATCAAGGCTGGCTTCCTCTTTGCTCCTCAGAGAATCTACCCTTTACCAAATCCTTTGGCATAGTTACATTGTCCAAATACATAACRCAGAGCAAGTGACAGGAATCGGTTTTTCTAATTAACTGTTGCATAATCTAGTCACTTGTGTAAAGGTTAACTCTGGAAAATTATTCAGAGACTGTCATCATTGACAAAAATTGCCCCCTACCATTGTTTTCAACCTTTGGCCACACATAGCTATGGCCATACCGGATTAGGAAACCAGTTCCCAACATTTGCCTTGAGTGGCTTCTGGACTAGTGTTTCAGTAAATCTTAAACCCCAGGGTTTCCCATGGCTCTCTCCTGGACTTCCCTGGCAGGACACAGCTCCTCACAGTGACTGCAGATCTGTTGACTGCACTGATGCCAGCCTGATAACACACATAGTTTGCAGGCAATGCTCTCTGAAACGATTGGCCTTTCCATCCCACTTACCAATGGTGTCATTGCCTCATTTGCTATGTTTGGAAACTGCTTGCACTGTGGAGCCAGGTGTGCCCTGAGCGGGACTTTTCTTGTCTCATGCCCTGACAGACATTGGTTGCCCAACACTTGTGCTGGCCTCTCTAAGAGTTCTTCTAACCCAACATTTCCACTTGACCCACTCCGTCTTACTGTCACAAGATACATGTGACATGACATATTTGGGGATCTGGGATCCATCCATAACAAAAATGGTGGCATGACGTATCCYTTTCTGCTACCATCTGCTATTTTCAACTATGTGTATCCTACCAGTCTTATCATTTGGGGGTTAAGCAATATTACATAGATTTAGCATTTGAGCAGTGCTTAGACACAGCTCCCTGCTGCTCATACTGCTCACAGCCTAGCAGAAGAGCACTTTTCTAAGCAGAAATACACCCTGTGCATTCATTTTTGACAGTGTTGGTGTACCTTGAGCAATTCCTTGCTCAACGAGTTGCTGTCCAGCATGGTGCCCAGCATACTGACAGAGTTTCAAGACACCCGAAGAAGCTTCACACAAATAGGAAAATGAGACAGAGGCTGGACCCAGCCCAGCAAAGCACGTTCTTTCCTGGAAGTGTGTGAGGAGCTCTAAAGATTCAGCAGGATGATCCATGTACTAAAAGGTGTGCTCCCACCTAAGTGGCTTGCTGGCTGAGGGCCCGAGAGCAGCTTGCTCCCAAAAGCCCACAGCATAGCTGGGGAAGCCGTGGAATGCCAATGTCTCCATGTTCAAAAGACTCCCCAGCTCTCTGRTGTGTGAAGAATACAGACCAATGACAAGCTTCCTTCCTTCAGCAGAGCACAGTTGTAATCTTTCATCAGGGCAGGCCAGCCTCCTGCACCAATGAGCCCCCAAAACRCCCAACTTTTCTGATGACCAAGGGCCACCAAAGCCACCATGAAGATCAAGAAGGAGGGGCAGCTCTGGACGTAGTCCACAGACAGGACTGGGCATCTATCTGAACTCCATGTGATCTGCCAGTGCTGGTCTCTGCAACCCACCATTCCTGCCCTAATACGTAAGACTCTTATGTCAAGTGGGCTACAATCAGGCCCATGGGAACCACAGCACATGGGAACCACTCACTACCCCTGTCCTAAGGATCTTATCCACTGTCACAGATATTGCATTTACTGTAAATCACTGGCTTAAAAAAACTTCCTTTATTTTGTC